TAAGGGTACTCCTCATCATCCAGTGAACACCACGAGGAAGAGCAAGGTAATAAACAAAATACTAGAGTCCCTTTAGAAGAATAAAATATAGAAGTTAACAAGTCCACCAAAGGGAAAGAAAATAATTAGGTGCAAATAGGTATATGCAAAGAAAGAAGAGTTTCTTGACAAAGATGATGTACACTACAAAGTAAGATTGGTGGAAAAAGAGTATATGCTCATATAAAGGGAGTAGATTACAATAATATATTTTCTCTAGTGGTAAACCATTATTCAATTATATTTTTGTTGGCTTTGGTAGCATGGAACTTGTTCAAATAGATGTAAAAACTTCATTTTTTACATGAGAATTAGGAAGAGGAAATCTATATGACTCGGCTTGAAGGATTTAAGGTTGTTGGTAAAAAGAGTATGTGTATAACTTGATAAATCATTTTACTGATTGAAGTAATCCTCAAAACAATAGTGCAAATAAATTGAAAAATTCATGTAAAGGCAAGAGTACATAAGAAGTAAATGTTATAATTGTCTGTATTTACATAAGGTACCAAATGGATTCATTATCCATATACAATTTATGTTGACGATATGTTGATTGCTCGAAAAATCAATGAGAAATTAAAAAGTTAAAAACTTTGTTAAATCAAGAGTTTTAAAATGAAGGATCTCGGTGAAACTAGGAAGAAACTAAGTATGGAGAATTTGGGAGATTGTGTTTGACTTAAAAAAGGTATTTGAAGAAGGTGCAAAAATGTTGTCAAATGAGTAAAAAATCAAAACCAATAAGTCCCTATCAACTCTTCATTTCAAGCTTGGTGCACTTTTATTTTTAAAGGATGATCTAAACTAAAGGTATATGACTAATGTTTCATATACAAATTGTTGGTTGTTTCATGTATGTCATGGTGTGTACTAAGCTCGATATTTCACATTCAGTTAGAGTTATGAGCAAGTATATGCATGATTTTGGCAAGAAATATTGGCAACTTGTGAAATAGATTCTGCAATACATTCTTAAAACCATAGTTATTAGAACTCGTGTTTCAACGGGATAATAAAATTAGTCGAATTATAGTTGAATACTGTTATGTTAATTATGATGGTGACTTGGATAAACATCAATCTACAACTAGCTAGGTGTTTACTCTTGCAAAAGGGTCCATTAGTTAAAAGTCAACGTTGTAGTCAATAGTGATGGGATCTACTATAAATGCAAATTTCATGATAAATTACCAAGGCTATAGAGGAAGTAATTTGGTTTTATGGGTTACTTGGTGAGTTGAGACCAAGAAAAAGGTATATCAATATACACTTTAACAGCTAGAATATTATTCATTAAATAAGGAACCAAGTTTATGTGCGAAAAAGAACATTTTGATATATTGTATTCATTTTTACTTGAGAAATTCTTAAAGAAATAACAAGTTAAGACTCTAAAGATTCAGACTACTCATGAGTAGTTGA